AAGGCTGTAAGAGCTTCGTAGAAAAAAGGTAGAAGAAGGTTTCGTAGAAAAAAGTTTTCCGACGAGCTTTGAAATTGCGCTGTGTGATCTGTATGTCGATAAACTTTGATCCTCAGTATCAAAACGGGTAAGCTGTGGTACCATACAGATCTCGGATAATTAGCCAACTTTTCTCAATTTTGCTTTACCCACGGTTATAATTATTTCAACTAGTGTTAGGCAACAATAAAATAGGACCAAGGAAAATAGGTAACAATAATGTCATCACGCACATAAAAAGTTTATTGGTCAATCCACTTAGTGTAGTAAAGATAAATTTATTTATTTTTAATGAAACTTCAATCTTTTCTCGACTTTTGGGCATAAACTAATTAACAGTCAGATTATCGAATGACCGATTGCTCAGATCTCACCGATAAAGGATTTGCCAAAATTTTGATTGATGGTACAAAAAATTAAATTAGACGTAATGGAATATTTAATAATACAAAATTATTATAATGTTAAATATAAATAATGTTTAACTATCATGTAGTTTACGTGCTTCTCTTCTGTAATGCTTTCTCTCAACATTTTCTTATTTCATATTTTCCCTTTCTTGAATGGTGGAAGATATGTGGAAGTAATGACACGATAAAGTCTATTCGTTAAAAGCGTTTTCTTAACAGTATTTTATGTGCCATTTGCACATTCCGGTTGTTTAATTTATTATAACAAGTTTAGCAATAATTCTAGTCACTTTCACTTATTTGTTCGCGCAAGAAATTTTGAACTGATTCACTTTGTAGCTATAGTTACAAGATAATAGTCAAATATCAAGGACTGTCAAGGAAAAAGAGAACGGTACAAAAAAGACTTCGTAATGGCCAAGTACAAAATTTTTACACAATTACAACATGTACAATTTTTTACTTCATCTCCAGTTTTGCGTAATGTAATTCATGACTTTTTTGAAGGACAAGCTACATCTCATGGGGAATCTCAATGCTCCTACGTCATGGGCAGCAGGAGCATCTGTATTCGTGACGAGTATACTTTTCCAGCTTATGACGATTTAGTCCCTTTCTCTTAGTACAAGATTATGCTTTGGTTAGAAATTGTGAGATCGACGTCATACTTTATTTTTATTATTTGCTGTTATATTTGCCACTTGATCGATAATCAATGTTTTGTTTTAACCTCAGTACGGAAAATATTTTCTTTTTTAAATAAACTAACTAGTTTAAACCAAAATTGTATGAGTACAATTTTCAATTCATGACTGTTTGGAATTATTCTTTACCCGAAAGTGAACAAGACGTAGTTATTACTGGCGTGTAAGTCTACAATACAACTGCAATCAATATTGCAAATGTAGTGTAAGGTACAGGAAGAAGTTTACAATCCACTCATTTACAACAAACAACATTGCAAAGACATTCTATCCTGTGAATTATAATCAAGCAATCAATCATCATGCTCGTTAAGTTTCTTTTGCATCATTTGGTTGTAGCCGTTATGGCAAACCAAGGGAAAGCTAGTCTGGTCTCGAACCACATCTGGTTGTTAACGATGACTTCCTGGGACAATTTCATCGCCTATCGACAAACCCGTTGTTGCGCAATAATTTGCCTTCTGCTATCGGTCTAGGTTGTCGGTGGAGAGAAATTTGACCTCGCCTACACAATTTCGACCGGAATTTATCGAACGAAGCACTTATCACAATTGTCACGTGATTATGCCGGATCAGATTAGATGAGGGTCGGTTTTGATTCTATGGCCCAACACCTAAATCATCGGATTTCTGATTTCGAAACTGTTCGCTGTCGAAATTTTGGAAAGGTCAAACGGCAATTTCAAGGGTGTTCCGCAAATCGACTTTTTATACAACGAAACACCCACAGGGATGATTTATATCACATGAAAACATAAAAAGATATGATTTTTTATAAATAAATATCAGATGGACAGAAAGTCAAATTACATAGAAATACAAATACTGTTCGTGAATATCACAACAACCACACAAATTTTAGCTATAAAAGTCATATCAAAAAATCATTTTAACATGATCACACGCTCATTTCACGTAAACAAGTACATATTAATGATACAATAAATACTGCAAATTGTCATACTTTAGCTATACTTTAATTTTAATGTTTTTAACTTTTTTGTTAGTTTCTTTGTTAGAACTACCAGTAAGCCATTGATTTTGACAAAAGGGGACAAAATATTAAAATGTTAACCAATAATACAAGAAATACCACCTTTTGGTACGATTAGTGTTTTGTTCCGGTAAACATTGTTTTATTTGCAAGGATTTATTCCAATAATACGAATTTTCTTGACGAATCTTCATTTACTTGAATGAACCTGGCAATAAAATAACCCATTCGTATCATACAGGGGAAACAAGACAAACAAATTTAAAAAATTAATTGCTTTTGAATTTTCCCCCCTTTTTGCCATTTTTATCTCAACTAAAAACCTTAATTAATTGTCATATATTAATTGGTCAAGCGGACCACGAAATTAGTGAATTATTATTATTATTGAATATTTCATTGCTCCGGAAGAAATTAGTAGGAGTATCAACATTTTGCTCATTTTCATATTCTTTATCTACTTTCTCTTCAAAATATTTTCTCTTCGACCTCGATTTGAATTAATTTTTTAGGGATAATCCAAAACTTTTCCTAAAAAAATTATGCAATTGTTTACCCAATATGAATAAAATTACCAACACAAATATACAAGTCATAATTATAGAAATTTGATACATATTAAATAAAATACTTTTTATAAGTTCCTGAGTTATGTCCACCTTTCAGTTTTCTCGTATAAATTCTCCAACTTTATTTTTCTTCAGTGCTTAAGTTACGTAGTTTTACGGCATTCTTGACTAAAGGTATGTACTGGGTTCCTGCAACACCTTTTCTTTTCGAAAACTTATTTTACTCGGCCCAGCAGAAGAAGGTGCACAAGTTAGCAGGAAGCTTTTACTAAAGCTGAGGTCGAAATGAAAAATCACTTTTTCACTCATAAAAGGTCCCTGTGTGTTATCAACCGATTAAGATAATAAATTTTAAGAATCAGTAAATAGATTTAGTATAGATATAGCTAAAGAATTTTAAAAATAATGTACAGTTCATCATTTAAAAAAAATAAAGTTCGATAAAATGACAATTTTTTTTCAAAATTCAAATTCATATCAATTTAAAACTGCTTACCTTAAAATTTTGGGAGTAATAAGTCGCATATTACTTTATACATTCACAAACATGCATGTACAATTTTACTCAAATTGATTGAGCAGTTTTTTATAAAAGTTGAAGTGAACAAGGAGTGTTGAAAGGTATTTCTAAATATTTCAGTTGAGAGGATTTATTCGCCAATAATTGTTTCATACGATTGTTTCAGGTTTATTGAATAATTTACGAGCGTTAAACCGTAATCAAATAAGACAATTAAACCTATAGTTTTAAATGCGGAAATATAGGAACTCGGAGATTTTGCAATACTAAAAAGAACTGGCAAAAACGTGCTATTGACCAGAGTCCAACTTCCGAGACAGTCTGAATAACAACTACGGTAAACAATAATTTCCCTTATCAGAATCCAAGACTGGCAAAACAGTGTTTTTAAAGTCTACAAACAATATTTACAAGCTTTTGGCAGATTGCTGATAAAGCTCGATTGGTAAAGAACTGGAAAAAGGTTTAACTTAGGTAAATTATAATGAACTACCAATCGTCGGTGGTCAAACAAAATCAATCTACAGTATGTTTTAAAACCTTTCTTTGATAATTGACCAGAAAATTGAATAAGACGGAAGGAAGTTCTTCGATGCTTTTGGGAATCCAAAAGAGGAAGAGAAATCCTCGGATTTTTACATTAGGTTGAAATGGCAAAGATGCATTTCATAACTTACGAAAAAGGATAGAGGTTTCTAATTCCAAAAAAATCTCGAAACTTCCGAGGCAGTGAAATTTGCAGGACCTAATTTAGATATTAACAATATTTATAAAAGGATATAAAAGATCAATATAAGTTTAAGTCAAGAATAAATAATAACGAAATATTTTCTCCGTTAAGTGAGACTATTATTTTTTATTTATATATTATAATTCTTACAATTGCGATTTTTAGTCGCAACAAGTAATTTAGATTAAAGACATAGTCACAATCTATCATTTAACACATGATAGGAGAAGTTACTCAGCAGTGACACCCTCTCATATTGAGTCAATCAATCGCTCAGATCTCTCAGCTACAGTGCTTCAAACGTCGTATGGGATTTCCAGGAATGTTCCAGGAAGAAAGCTGTTGGACAAGTGGATTGGAGCGATGGTTAAATTTTTGTGGAAGCTTTTGTATCGGGATTAATTATGTCAATTAATGCGATTTGGAGGTCATTGCGGGTGGATTGTTTGGCTTGAAACGTAAAAGAGACAGTTTAATATTCGTCTTAGTATTTTTGTTTTGGTGGATAAGATTTTGTTGGAATTGGATTTGTGTCCCTCATTTCAATTCCGTATGTTCTTATCGGTACCAGGAGGGTGAGTTTGTTAAGGGTGAGGGTAAATGGTGAGTTTGTTAGTAAGGTGTAAAATTTATAGTACTGTATGAGGGTTCCACAGCCTCAATATCTGAGAACATCATCATATAACACACAATATCTGATGTTGGAATGGGTTTTCCATTCAAATATACTGAAGAACAAGTGGATTTTCGGAGTCTAAAGGAACTGTAGATGAATTTGGTTTCGTTAATTTTTATTCTCCATTTGCGCGACCAAGACTGGATAAGGTTTAAATGGAGTTGGGTGTTATGACTAGCTAGAAAAGGATCATGATTAGATGATAGGATGGTTGTGTGGTCATAAAAAGCATATAGTCTTGCTAGGAAAAACAGGAATGTCGGCTGTGTATATTGTGAATAAGAAGGGCCCTAGGATGTGAGGGACTGCCGTCTTAATGGGAATATAAGAAGACAAAGTAGACCCCTGAGCGATACGGAAAAATGTGGAAGGCTTCACGATTTTGGGTACCCCCCCTTGAGTAGAGATCATACCAATTTTCACTGTATCGTTTCAATTTTAGTCCATGAACCGCCGAAGCTAGTACTATTAATATATTATCTTATATTAATAAATAAAATATAAACCCTAAGCCAAATTCACAGGCTTGCTTTCAACTGCAGTTGTCAGAAGGGATGAATTTAACGAGGTAGAAGCTGCGTACCAATCGATTATGCTCAGTCATGTTTAATTATTATAATTAGATACACAGACACTGTACATACAGACAGTCAATTAAATTATGATTTATAGCTGTAATTTTATTTATATATTAAATCAGCTATTTAACTTAAAATATTTATATGTTAATTAAAATATTCATTAAATAAGTTAATTTTATTATATTAACTATTATTTATTTATACATTTATGTTAACAATTATGATATAGAATGGATTAACAGATAATTTTAAAAAGCAACATCCACCTGCAATCATTCTTTTTTATATTAGAAAATGTAACATTGAAAGCTAAATTGCGTTGGATAGGAAGTTTTCCATCGTTTAGATTTTCCATTTTTTAGAGAATCCAGGAAAATGGATATTTTCATTAAAAATAAATAAAATAAAATAAAAAGATTTGTGTTTACAAATATTGAACACACCCCTTTACGTTTTGCATGGTCTTTTAACTCTGTAATTTGCAGGATTTGAGCGTTTAAGTATTGAAATTTATATCCCCGCTATTAAAAATTCGTCTTGATTTAACCAAAGTAGTTAGCTTGAACAAAATATGTTTAAATGAATGCGTTTTAGTAATCGTTTTGTCAAGAACGATGGACTATCAAGTTTGGATAGTCCTTTTACTGTATGTAAATTGTAATGTGGCTTTTGTCCATACGCGTTTCGGTGTAACACCATTTTCAGACTAAGGAATAAGCGGTAGAATGTTTCTGAAAACGATTTATGACACAGGAATATGTCCCTTTTAGTCATGCAATTTTGCATAAAACGATTACTATGCACTCGCGTCTAAAAGCTTGATTTTAAAAATATTTCCCACCTTGCTATATGTAATGGCTTCACCAAATTAAGATCCACTCACTGCCATTTTTCACCTGCCTTATTTTGCATACGGATAATATTTTCGTAAGAATATTTCGAGAATTCTTTTCTTGTCCATCGTACGAATTCTCAAAGGATCTTAAAGAGAAAAATAATTATTTTTAATACAACCTCCAAATAACACTTTATAATTTCATTAGCAAATCATTCGTACAGATCTCAGTTCCTTTTATCAGATAATTAAACAAGTAACTTTTGCAGAAAGAAGTAATATTTCGAGCCCGCGTCTTACAAGGGTGAAATTAATTTTGCCGATCGGTTTAGCATTATGTATTTATTACATAAGCACTATGTTTCCAAAGCCAGATAATTGTCGGCTTCGAATAAGAATATTATGAAATTTGTAATTGCTAAGTTTTTTCTCAGTATTTTTCTTAAAACCACTGAGATTTTTGAAGAAACCGAATTTTAAAAAAATTGTCGTTTTAAATTTCTTGTTAATTACTGTTTCTGTGGAAATAAATGAAGTCTTATAGAAAACTTTTAAAAGTTTTAAAGGAAGAATCCTTATGATCTTATGTTCAAAAGATCCTTGATTTCTTAATCAGTGAAATAAGTAAATCCTTCTTTTAGCACAAATATAAATTTTTTAAACATGAACTTTTAACTAAAAAATTTTTTAGCCCGTCTACTTGTTTGGTCGTGTTATCGGTTAAATGGCGAGGTGACTTTGCTGGCGTTAAATTTATTGTTACAAGTCAGGAGCAAATAGCCACTATCACAAAAGGCTTAGGCGGACACTTTTGAGAGATATACAAACTGCTTGGTTATATATTATTTATTAAGACCTATCTCCGAACCTCTAGAAATGAGATTAGCTCCCGGGGGTTTATCTCGGCGATTAGGCCTTGGCGGATCGCCCTTCTAGGCAAAAATCTCGGAGATTATCAAAAAATATTAGGCAAACCCAATTGGGAAAATCGAACGGACGGCAATGCAAGGGTCCTTTGCCCGTTTGTCCGGCTCGGTTTACTTTTACTGCCGCTGACGAGAAAGGCTACAGAAGAATCAAAAAAGGTCAGAACGCTTGCCTCAGTAGCAATAGAAATTCGTAACGACTTTTTTGCGGACGGGTTCTTATATAGTGTCTCAACGAACTTTCATAAATATTAGCTATTATCTATGTGATTCTCGGCGACAAATGAAATGGCCACGGAGAGCTTTAGTACTTCATCGGTATACTTCATTTTTACTTATTCGATTAAATGGCCATTCCTTTTTTCGTGGAGAATCAAATAGATTACACGACATTTGAAAAATGGGAAAATTCAAAAGGTGGGGTTGAGATAGGAAGTTAGTGTCCGAGTGGATCGAAGTCACGATAGCTCAAGTGGTAGAGCAACGGTGTATCTAGCCGAAGATCGTGGGTTCGAATCCCGCTCGTGACACTGACTTTTTATCTCAACTAAAAGCCTTAATTAAATGAAAGATATTAATTGGTCAAGCGGACCACGAAAACTATCGAATTTCGATTAAAATTGAACTGCTTCGTTTGAAAATATTTGTTAAAGATACTTAATTATGGCAAACCCTACTTTTCCTAACAAACTGTGGTTTCTTTTCGAACAATTATTTAGAGAAAAAAGGTGCGCCCATCGAATTGGAGGTACAGGTATCAAACTAAAAGAGGAGTCTTTATTTTGGTAATAGTTCATGTTTTCTGCACAAAACATGTGTTAGGTCCTTAATTTTTATATCAATAAGAATTATATTCGCTATAAATCATGAGGGCTACTTACGAGTTGGTTTGAAAACTAATAGCAGGAATAATCAATCAGCTTATTGGCACTAATAATCATTTGCTTTAAACTATACACTGCTGATCAGCAAATAGGGCAGACCAATGTAATGTTGTACCATCTTGAATAATTTTCAAAGCCTCAACTTGAAATCCCCAATATAATTTCAGATATTTACTTGAAAAATAATCACTATGAAACTCTTCAAGAAAGCTTGTCACTAGTCCTATATATAAACTTAAAAATATTTGAGGACAATATGATTCGTGTTTTTAACGGAGATAACCCTATCCTCGAAATTGTAAAGATTTTTATCAGAAGTAATGACCATATCTATATATGAGATGTTCAATACTGCATTGTACCAATATTCACAAACCCAAGTCTACAGCAGGAATCTTGTGGGCATGGCCTGACTGTTTTATTTTAAAAATTGATTCATTAAAAACTAACCAATGATCTCTGACTAGATGCTCTAATATTATTTCCATCTTCTTGTCATTATTATTATTTATTATTATATTCTAATATGATTTTATAAAATAGAAAAACATTAAAAACGACAACAATGATTCGAAGGATGGTCGATTTGCCTCCTGTTAATAATAAATATAAACCTCCATTTATTCAACAACAATTCTTTCAACGTTTCTTGGCTTGCAAACATTAAAGCAATCTTTCAAAGGACATGTTCTTTAATCACTTTTCGCCACTTTTCTCTTTTTATGATCTTCTTATTGTCTTATAAATCCTACAACTAGTAAAAATATATTAAATCTATATAAATTCATGCCCAAGATTTTACGTTTTCAGTAGACGATTATATGAAAAGGTTGTTTCTTTGATAAGTTGCGTCCAACAAAATAACCATTTCATGTACATGTGTACATACATACAAGGTAAACAAAATTAATAATTTATTTGTATAAACGAGCATCTGTTACTCTAATTTCATTTAATGTAATGTGTAATATGTGTAATCATTTTAATAGTAGTTTAATTATTCCCCACTTACCAATATTGACATGAACTCATGACTGATACAGATCTTAATAGCAACAAGGCAACTGACGAGTAGAAACTTGATCGTACTTCGTGTATGCACTTCAAAGTGAAAGTGCGGACGTTTTCAGTGTTCACCACTTCTTATTGGCGTCAGAAAGAAGACATGGAAAATGACCGCATCAGAAAAGAGAAAATTATTATTTGACGGAAATTTGACGGGATAGAAGGAAATAAGCGGAAGGAAGGGATCGAGCTCACTCGTTAGAGGATAGGGTAGTCCCGATTGACACGCGGACATCTGTTTTGGGGCAAACCCTGCGCAGGTGTCCCGCTAGTAGAGAAAGGTAGCTCAGTGAGGTACTTAGTCGAGGAGTGCCAGGCGCTGGCTCTTTATTGTGAGCGAGTAGGCCTGGCACCCGATATAAAAACAGCCCTTAGGTATTTTTAATGAAAACGGGGATGGTTTCCACATTTAATCGGTAAATATTTTATGTATTAGTTATTGTAAATAATTTTTGCGTAATTGTCCAGTTTGTATGAATGTGATTTTTACCCTGCCTATTCTCCCTGTTAGTTTTCCCCAATTATACATAAACTTTCAACATTATCGAAATCAATTGTGGTAAGAGTTTTAACCCATTGTCAGTTCATAATGTGTTTATTCACAGAATTGACCGGACCAGTTCCAGTATGAAGATGATAACATCAGAAAAATTAAAAGGCAAATTTGTGTAACTTCGCATATAAAGAAACGTTCACAATGTGACAATTTTATAAAATTATACGTACTAGATTTTATATTTTGGACTCTTTTTTTTTTGGTTTTTCAAAAAAACAATATTAAATAATGGTTAACAAAATTTGAGAAAGAATGTGTATGTTCTTCAAAAGAGAATGAGCTAATAATTAATCCATAGAGAAACGAGTGAACAATTTATGTGGTACTTTATGTGAAATGAAATGAGATTAGGAGAAACCTTTGTTTTGAACTTTGACAGAGCAGAATGGCGAGTAACTAGCCTGCATTAACTTACAGGGTTTTTTCTTTTATATCGGCTTCACGCTCAGTAATGTCACATAGTAACGATCATTCGACAGTGACTATGATTTTTTTTCTATATTTTTTCTTAACAGAGATAGGGAAATGCGGAACGCCGACTTACGCAAGAGGGCTGAAAGTTATCGAATGGCTGTCACCTGTAATTCGCGGAGAAAACTTCTCTGCTCTCGGAGAAAGT